TTTCCTAATTTTTTGAGATGAGATTTCACTCTTGTTGCCGTGATCTCAGCTCACTGCAGCCTCTGCCTCCTTGGCTCAATGCAATCTCTACCACTCCGGGCTCAAGTGATTCTACTGCCTCAGCCTCCTGAGTAGCTAAGATAACAGACATGTGTGACCACTCTAGGTTAATTTTGTATTTTTAGAAGGGACAGGTTTCTGGTGTTCGTCTCGAACTCTCGACCTCAAGTGATCTGTCCACCTCGGTCTCCCAAAGTGCTGGGATTACAGGCATGAGCCATTGCACCCGGACTCCTACTTTTTTGGAGGATATTGAGAAACACTGGTGTTAATTATTCTTTAAATGTTTGGTACAATTCATTCATGAATTGACACTTCTTTGGTCCTTACCAATTCATTGTTGGAAAGTTTTGAAATACTGATTTAATATTTTTTCTTGTTATAGATCTGTTGAGATTTTTCATTGCTTTTTAATCCAGTTAACATAATTTCTGTGTTTCCAGGAATGTGTCCACTTTATTTAGGTTATCTAGGTTGTACAATTAATTGTTCATAGTATCCTCTTCTAATCTTTATTTCTGAAAAGTTTGTTGTAGTATGCCCCAGTGTCATTTCTAATTTTAATTATTTGCATCTTCTGTCTTTTGGCAATCTAAGTGAAGTTTGTCAATGTTATTGATCTTTGCAAAGAAACACCTTTTGGTTTCATTGATTCTCATTGAATAGATTCTCGTCTATTCTCCATTTCACGTATTTCCCCTCTTATTTCTTTCCTTCTGTAAGATTAGTTTACTTTCCTCTTTTTTGGTAGTTCCTCAAGATATAAAATTATTTGTAGGTATTTACAGCTATATATTTCCTACTGAGGCCAGGTAAGATGGCTCACACTTGTACTCCCAGCACTGTGGGAGGCCAAGGCAAGAGGATTGCTTGAGCCCAGGAGTTCAAAGCTGCAATGAGCCGTGATTGTGCAACTGCACTGCAGCCTAGGAGATAGAGCCAGACACCATGCCTGGCAATTTTTACTGATTTTTAAAAATCCAGTAAGAAGTAAAAACTGGAGACTGGGTGCGGTGGCTCACACCTGTAATCCCAGCACTTTGGGAGGTTGAGGAGGGTGGATTACGAGGTCAAGAGACTGAAACCATCCTGACCAACATGGTGAAATCCTGTCTCTACTATAAATACAAAAATTAGCTGGGCATGGTGGCATGTGCTTATAGTTTCAGCTATGTAGGAGGCTGAGCAGGAGAATTGCTTGAACCAGGAGGTG